GAAGGAGCCCGGGGGTTGGTGGGGCTCTGACCACGCGTGTCGTGTCCCTCAGGGCCCCCCGGGGTCGCTGTGGCGAGCACCGTGGGAGGCCTGACTGTGGGTGTCGTGGGGTCAGGGTGCCGCCGTCCCTCTGGCCCGTGTTTCTCATCTGTGCCAGGTGTCGCTCCGTGTGAGGACAAGCAGGTGCCGTGTCCCCTGACGGATGTGGGCCTCCGCCGTTGTGCCACTCGGTGCTGACGTCCGTCTCGCCCGGTTTCAGGCAGAGAAGGACCCTGCCAGCTCGGAGCCCTACCACTGCCTGGCGGACTTCGTCGCCCCGCTGCACTCCGGCGTGCGCGACTACCTGGGCCTGTTCGCCGTCGCCTGCTTTGGGGTGGAGGAGCTCAGCAGGGCCTACGAGGACAGCGGGGACGACTTCAGCAGCATCATGGTGAAGGCGCTGGGGGACCGGCTGGCAGAGGTGAGGCGCCACTCCTGCTGACCCCGGAGGCCCACGCCTGCATGGGGTGCCGGGGGTGCAGGGGACGGCCCGGCCACCAGACACGGGCCCTGTCTTCAGTGTGATGCGGACAATCTTAATGCCACCACAGCTGGCTGTGACCCCGTGGTGCCCCTCTTTGTCATCTGGGGCAGGAGGGACCCTAGGTGATGCTGTGGCCGTCCCCGGTGTCGCCCTTGAACCCGGAGCTCTCTGGTCCCCACGTCTCTCTTAGCTTGTGACGCAACGTTTTCCCCAAGGGCCTCGAACAGCTAAGAGCAGACTTCCGTTCCAGGGCTCCTTGTCCCAACACCGGTGTTTTCTACAGATTCTTCATCTTCTCGGGCCTGGGGTGCGGCTGCCTCAGCCCCGGGAGGGACTCATGCCCACAGGCCTGGAGTGCTCTGGGCACTCGGGAGAGCACTTCCACCCAGAGGAGTGGGCAGCTGGGAGCCCAACCGTGCCCTTGGTGCTGGCCCTGGCCTAGCCCAGTGGGCTCCGGTTCAAGGTGGCCTCCGACTCCCCACCTGTGGGCTCTGCTTCAGGGTGGGCCCACCGACTCCCCACCCATGGGCTCCGGTTCAGGGTCAGCCCACCGACTCCCCACCCATGGGCTCCGGTTCAGGGTGAGCCCGCCGACTCCCCACCCATGGGCTCCGGGTC